GACAAAGGCAGAAAATCGCATCGCGTGTTTAATAAGTGGTGGGTCATGAGCCCAGGGTGTTGTGTGGGTCACACGCAGGAGACAATTTGAGCCTGTAATAAGTCAGAGGTGAGTTAAGACTAAGACAAATACAACCCAGAATGACATATGAAGGAGAATAGATAGTACATCGAGGCTTGGGGCGACTAAAAAAAAATTTATCTTGCTTTGTTTTCAGAAGGAGATGATGTAAGCCAAATGACTTGGGCCAAGCTCTAGGAAAATTGCTGTGATAGCAATTTTTATAAAAGATTAAAGGACAAAGAAAGAGAATGAAAGTAAGTAGACCCGTCAAGGGTATATTAAAAAGTCCTTGATGACAATGATAAACACCTAAACTAGGGCAGGGGCCGAGAAGATGGCCAAGAGGGGAGAAGTTAAAGAGATGTAAGTAGAATGAATCATATTTGGCAACCAATTAGGAAGCCAAGAAGAGATGATTCAAAGATTACACTTCGTTTTTAGATGATGCCAGAAAAAAGAAAGGGCACTGACGATGGATTAGGAAGGTAGGAAATTATAAGATAATCTTTGAACTGAACAAAAAATTAACTTATGTTCAAAGTTTAAAAAAAATAAATACTAGCCAATGATGTCAAGAAAGTGGACATTCAACCAACAGCAGTGAGTCACAGGAATAATATCTTAAGAATCAAGCAACGAGTCTGCTAATCTTGTATTATTCTAACCTGGAGGAGGCTATTCTAAGGCTTCAGGCTACATATGAGTCTATGAGTTGCGGTTCCATGTCACCATGTGGAGATTATCCCACCTGACATAAAATGAGCATCGCAAGTGCACAAGTCTATCTAGAAATTATTGCCACCGGTTTTCCCTACTGTGTATAGACCAGATCACTTCCTCAAAAAGAACCCTTTAGTATCGACAAAGGCTCTTCAGTGTGCTGAATGTGCTGAGGCAGACAGGCGCCTTCACTCAGGGTCCTGCAAGTACCTGCCTTGTACCTGCAAGACCCTGAGAGCAAACACCTCCTTCAATTTTGCACCTTAGGCACCTCTCTTGCTTCGCCTAGTCCCAACTCTAGGAGTAAAGCGAAATCATTTCCAGAACAAAGTAGTAATAAAGCTTATTTATTAAGAGGGAGAGGGGGAGAGGGGAGGTAGATAAGGGTAGGGGGGTCAAATACACGGCGACAGAAGGAAATTTAACTTTGGGTGGGGAACGCACAGTGCAATATATATACGATGTATGACTGACTTATACACTTGAAACCTGTATAATTTTATTAACCAATGTCACCCCAATAAATTTAATTTAAAAAAGAAGCCATTAGGTTGTAGTAGTCACAAAACTTTCCTGTAAAGAATCAGATAGTCAATATTTTAGGCTTTCCAGACTGTATGATCTCTGCCCCAACTACTCGATTCTGCCATCGCAGTGGAAAAGCAGACAAGGACACATGTAATGACTGGGCGTGACTGTGTTGTAATAAAGCTTTATTTACAAAAATAGGCGGCAGGCCAAATTTGGCCCTCAGGTCGCAGTTCGCCAACCCTGCTGTGAGGAAGGAGATAGCCAGAGCTCCTTTGGTTTAACTTCCAAATTCACCATTTACCAAACATCTGGATTTGGGTATGCACCTCTGTAAAATGTGATAAACCTTTTAGAAAACATAGGTAAAATGCCTCATAAACAAGTCTTTCAAACAGGGCAGTACTCTTTTTAATTATAAGGCATAATATAAATAATAGCTAACACATTGAATGATTTTATGACATAACAGCTACTCTATAAAGACTTTACAAAGATTATTTCATTTAATCTTCCAATAACTCTTTCAAGTGGGAAGTCTTATAGTATCCTTTTCTACTTGTGGGGGAACTGAGGCACCAAGAGATACCCAAGACATGCTCACACAGATAGTAAATGATGTAGTTGGCACTTAACCCCAAGCACATGGACTGCAGGTGTCTTGATGCTAACTTCTATGTAGTTGATTAGCTCCATTAACTCAGCTCCTATTGAAATGCTCAGAATCGTATCAAGTTCTCCAGGGCTTTTCATAACTCATCACAGGTAAAAACAACCGAAAATAATTTATACACAGCTTTTAGAAATTCACCTTCAGGTTAACACTCAAATAACATCTTATATAAATAAAATGTTTATTCTGACCCTCCTTCTGCCCATCGATTTGCTCCCCTCCTGACAAAATTCTTCTGTTAAGAGGAACCAGAGTCTTTTTGAGAAAACTAATGCAAACCCATTTCAAAAACTGTATCCCATAATCACTCTAAAAACTTGTAATTTCAAAGCTACAGTGCAGAATAGCATACTGGATTAATTGTGCCAGTCTGCAGCAATAACCTTGAATTAAAGCTGCAACCTTCTATTTTTAAGAAACACTTGCCTTTCTGGTTGATGAAACCTGTCGTCCCATCAGGTAACAGACGTGACCAGGAAAGAGAGAAGCGGTAATGAGTCAATCCAAGCTGTTTGATACATTTCAAATCTTCCTCCCACAGAGTGTAGCTGCCACAAGCTACATCACCAGTCTGGTTCTTGAAAACTCTCTCTCCTCCCTGATGGGTGAATGTGTCCCAGACACTAGGGCCTTTTCCATCTGCATCCCAGCCTCCTGAGAAAAAGAAGAAAATGAAACGGTAACACTCTTGACATCAAGAAGCATATGTGGAATGTAAATCCTTGTCGCCAAAAGAACATACCTCGTTAACACAATGTACCATATTTATAACTTTAAAATATGTCTTTAAAATAACATGCATGAGTGGATTATGTGTTTAGCTGTCCTTGACCCTTGATGCTGACTGGTAGCAAATGAAAATTATTGCCTAGTGCTGGCACATCATAGGATTTCCTGGTTCGTTATCTGACTGGTAAACAGAGGCAGGCCCCAGCTTATGAAGGCCTACTTGGAAACACTTCCTCGTGAACATTTCTCTTGGCCATGACTGACATGCCTTGCCCTGGATATACAGGACCTTGATGTGTGGAACCTTATTTTTGACCTTCTACCTTTGAACCCTATTCTCCTTTTATTTAACAATGGAGCCTGTGATGGTCCAATCGATGGGTGAGGTGCTAGTTCTCACCACTGCTGACACAATTTTGGTACCCTACATTCACTCATTCATACAATGTTATACTTGATGAGCACAGGGGACACCAGGACGAACTCTGCTTTGCTTCCTGTCCTTGGGGAACTTAGCTATAGGCTACTGCAAAACAGTTGACCTAAAGGCCTTTGAGAAAACCAGGGAGGGTCATTTATCCAGATGTAGCTAGAGTCAGGAGTCTCCTAGATAAACGACTCCTAGACTAAAACCTAAAGGAGAAATTGAATCATCAAGGTGAATTGCTTGGAGGTGGGAATGAGAGGGCAAGAGAGAAAAGAAGAGCTAGGATTTGACTAAGTCCCGCAGTAAGAGAGCGCCCATCACAGGAACAGAAAGGAATGACTTCGTTGGATGTGGGATATCTGCTCACATAGAAATTTTGTTTAAAGAGGTAGGTAGACTCCATTTTATGGTATAGAGGATTGATTTTTTAAAATCTCATGAGTCCCTAATTCCACTTCTAGGTGCATACCCTGGAGAAACACTCTTGTATTTTCATGAAGAAATAATATGAGATTATCGAGGCTGAGAAGACCATAAGAGCGAAATCCTGGAAAGGACTTACATCTTATCAACGGCAGAGGAGATCATTAATTTGAGGTGCATCCATAGAGAAGAAACACTAATCAACAGTTAAAATGAATGAATCCAAGCATAGATAACCTTCTGCTATGGTCTGAATGTTTGTGTCCCCCCAAATTTGTGTGTTGAAATCCTAATGCTCAATGTGATGATACTGGACGGTAGACCTTTGGGACACGCTTCAGTCATGAAAATAGAATCCTCATAAATGACATTAGTCCTCTTATAAAAGAGACCCCACCGAGCTCCTTAGCCCGTTTGGCCATGTGAGGACACAACAAGTCTGCCCTGTGAAGGAGAATGCCCACCCAGCCACGCTGGCAATCTGATCTCAAACTTCCAGCGGATTAAGATATCCTGAAAATTATAATGTTAAACAACAAAAGAAAAATCAAGATTTGAAAGAATGTATACAAGGATGAATAAGTGGAGTATAAAAGATTTTTAGGGCATAAAACTATTCTGTATAATACTGTAATGGTGGATACATGTCATTATACATTTGTCAAAACCATAAATGTGAACTTTAGTTAATAATGTATCAAAATTCTTTCATCGATTGAAATAAATGTCCCAGACGAATGCAAGATGTGAACAGCAGGGGAAACTGGGGGAATAGGTTATACACTAACTCTCTGTACTTTCTGTTCAACTTTTCTATAAACCTAAAATTGCTCTAAGATAATAGACTTTAAACTATTCATTAAAAAATATTTAATGTTTTTCATGTTTTGTATACTTAAAAATATGTAAAACAATCCATGTATTTTGTGAACATGTGAATATGAGGTAAACATATACCAACATGCCTAAGAATTACAAAACTAGGCTACTGGTGACATTTAATTTCCAGCGCTCACACTCAACCATTATGCCACTCAGGAAAAAACTAAATCAATCAAAAAGAGGGCAAGAGAATCAGAAAAAACAAAGATATAAATGGTAAGAAAAATTAGAGCATAAAGTAAGATGGTAGCACAAGGTATAAATGATACTTATAAAAACACACTTATAAAAATACAAGTCAATGAATGGACTAAATTCCCCAGATAAAAGAGAAAAAAATCAGACTAGATTTTTAAAAAATCCATTGATATGCTGTTTGCCAATTCACATAAGACAGAAGAATATAGAACAACTGAAAGCCACAATATGAAACGATATCCCTGCCCATGCTCCGAAAAAAAGCAAAAAATGTGAAGGAGAAAATGCATTACTGTGGGTCACTGCCTAACAATGTTTTAAATGTGTGAGAATCTAAGAATCTGGTTTCAAAATATGTGAAGCAAAAATCGACATAACTGAAAAGCAATGTCAACAACCCCACTTCATAATGAGAGATTTTAATTAATATGAGTTCTATCAAATATTAAGAAAAAACCTCATCCTACAGAAATAAATCCAGAAAATAAATACAGAATTTCTCAACTCTTTTTTATGTGGCTAGAATAACCTTGATACCAAAACCTCTCTCGGTAACTGAGAAAAGAAAGAATAAAGATGGCAGATATTAAGAAGTTTGATCTAATTGATATAAACGACATGGCACAATAATGAACACCATGATTGAAGAATATATTCCATTCTTTTTAAGGAGACACAAACATTATGAAAGTTGAGCACAAGTTGGTCCGTAAATAAAGTCTCCATAAATTTCAAAAGTTTGGAGAAATGCAGATGACCATCTCTAATAAATTATGTTAGAGTTCAATATATAAAGAACGTTAGAAATCCCAAAAGTTCATAAATCTGAAAAGGCACCTCTGAATAACTTAAAGGTTAAAAAAGATGCCATAGTAGTCACCAGAAAATATTAGAAATTAAATTAAAAAATAAATATTAAAACGCTGTGGCATCTAGTTTACGTGCTAGAGAGAAAGCTTTGATGCGTGTGTTAGAAACAGAGCAAGCCTCAGAGTTGATGAGCCAAGTAGCTCACTTGAAAGTTGTAAAGAAAAAGAGGAAGAGGAAGAAAATAGAAAGGAGAAAAGAAGGAGGAGGAGAAGGAGGAAGAGGAGGGGAGGGAGGAAGAAGAGGAAGAGAAAGAGAAGGAGATGAAAGAGAATATTATTTTAAAACTTCATGAAAACACATTTGAAAAGTTATATAGAAATGACAAGTTCTAGAAAATTAAAACATCAAAACTGGCTCCAGAAACGGTTAAAAAATAACTTGAAAGGTCTTTTAACTACTTAAAATTAATTCATAGTTAAAATGAATCACAAAGAAAATGCCATGCCACTTGGTTCTACAACTGAGTTCTAGTAAACATTTAAAACAAACAAACAAAAACAACCCAAAAAACTCTACTCACGCACAAGTTATTCCAGAAAAATAATAATAAAAAAAATTTCTCAACTCATTTTATGTGGCTGGAATGTCTTTGATTCCAAAACCAGAAAATGGCCCTACAAAAACAAATAAGGAAACAAACAAAATATATATGCCAATCTCACTCGTAAGCATAGATAAAAAGGTAAGTAGAGAAATAGAAGATTTAAAAAAACAAGAACTAAATTGAACTTTAAGAGATAAAAACTATATTGTGTGAAATGAGAAATACGTTTCAAAAAGACGATAAGGAAAAGAGGATAAGGAAAATCTTAAAAGCTGCCAGAAGAAAAAGACACAATGTCTAGAGGAACAAAGGTAAGAATACAGATGATTTGTTATCAAAAACAATGCAAGGAAACAGTGGAATGGCATCTTTCAAATAATGAAAGGGAAAAATAATCTGTCCAACTATAATTCTATACTCAGTAAAACTAGAAGTATGGATCTACACTAAGGGAAGGAGAGCACCAGAAGTGGTAACTACATGGATAAATACATAAGATTTTTTAAATTAATTTAATTTCTTTAATAAAAATTTGGTAACAGTATAGCAATGAAAGCAAAGGGGGGTAATGGAAGTATGTTGTTACTAAGCGTCTTCGATTATATAGAAGGACAACAATATAGTGTTTTTTAAAAAGCCTTTGACTACATATAAAGTGATATAATATCACTTGAGAGGTAGACTTTAACAAGGTAAAGATGTATACTATAAATCCTACAGAAAACACTAAACAGAACAAAGTTATATCTAATGATCCAGCAAAGAATATAACATGGAAAAATGAAAAATAAGCAATCTAAAAAAGACAGAAAAAGAGGGATTAGAGAATAAAAGAAAAATGGTAGAAATAGAAAACAAATAGCGAGACGGCAGATTTAAACCTAACCATATCAATGATATTAAATGTGAGTCTGAACAACCCTACTGAAGATTATCAGATTGCATAAAAATACCAAAATGTTATATACTCCTATTCAAGTGGGTTTAAACCATAAAGACCAAAAAAAGGTCGAAAATGACAGTTTGAAAATAATGTGCCACTCATGCTAACACTAATCAGAGAAACTGGAGTAGCTGTGTTAATATCAGTGTAGACTTCAGAGCAAGAATATTACCAGGTACAAGAAAAGTCATTTCATAACATCAAAGGGATTGACTTATCAAGAGAATTTACGATCCTAAATGTTTATGTACCTAGTAACAGATTCAAAATACGTGAAGCAAAAACTGATAGAAACTGCAAAAAACAGTCAAATTCACAATTATATTTGGATATTTTAATTCAAAAGACCAGCAAGAGTATAGAAAAATGGACAAAAAATGTGAATAGTTCCCTCACAGAAGGAGAAACACATGGCTAGCAAACATTTTTTAAAATGTAAGGGATCATTAAAAATCTGGGAAATGCAAATGAAAACCACAATGGTATATACACCCACACGGTTGGCATAAATTTAAAAGTTGGGCAATATCAAACATTAGAGAGATTGTTGCACAAAAGGAATGTTTATATACTCCTGGTAGGAGAGCGATATGGGAATAGCTAGTAAAGCTGAAGAAGCACGTATAACAAAACCCAGC